CAAGGGCAACATAGTGAGACTCTGTCTCAACAAAAAATAAATAAATAAAAATCAAAAATTTAAATGTACCTGTCATGTGATGGAAAAGGTAATTTGTCACCTGGGATCAAGTACAATGGTGCAGTCATAGCTCACTGCAGCCTTGAACTCCTGGGCTCAAGCTATCTTCTAGGCCAGTGGTTTTCAACCTTCCTAATGCCGCAGCCCTTTAATACAGTTCCTGTCAGTTGCAACCCACAGGTTGAGAACCGCTGTTCTAGGCTCAGCCTCCAATTAGCTAAAACTGCCACCACACCTGGCTAATTCTTTTTCTCTCTCTTTTTTTTTTAAGATCTTGCTTCTGAGGCTGGTCTTGAACTCCTGGATTCACACCTCAGCCTCTTAAACTGGTACGATTACAGATCTGAATAACCTCGGACAGCCATTAATGATTTCCTATATAACGCCAGGCACAGTGGCTCATGCCTATAATCCTAGCACTCTGGGAGGCTGAGGCCGGTGGACCCCTTGAGCTCAAGAGTTTGAGACCAGCCTAAGCAAGAGCAAGACCCTGCCTCTACTAAAAACAGAAACATTAGCTGGACACAGTGGTATGCACCTGTAGTCCCAGCTACTCAGGAGGCTGAGGCAGGAGGAGTGCTTGAACCCATGAATTTTAGGGTACTGTGAGCAAGGCTGACATCAGGGCACTCTAGGCTGGACAACAGAGTGAGACTCTGTCCTAAGGGAAAAAAAAATAGATTTTTTTTTTATGTAACTGAGTATAGAAAGATAACAAACATATGCTACCTACTCAGTGTTAATAATAAACAACCAAACTAAGTATTTTTATAGAAAACTTACTTGTCAGAAATAAAATATACCTAACTCCTCTTACCTGCCATGGATCCAGCCATTAATCTGTGCACATGACCCGAAACTCCCAGCTTTGTAGTAATTAACTAGAAACCAAAAACACTGAATTAAACGAGATTTTTGAAAGTATTTTTTAAATGCTGCCCATTTCACTGTTTTGTAATGAAGACTTATTTTAAGACAATTCTAGAAAAAGAGACTAGAAAAAGAAAATAAATGTGAATGAAAAGAGCACAATTACACAGGAAGCTGGGCAGTGCTATAACACATCAGAAGATGTTTCCTCTGCAGCCTCTGCTCTTTTCATGCTTTTGCAGAAGCAATCTAGCTTAGAATTGAGAAATATATAATACTAATGACCACATACTCTTAAAGAATGAATGGAGGTAGTAGGAATAAAATGCTACAATAGACAATGAACTCCTGAAATACTGATGGCAATGGCATCAATTCTAACTGACCAATCAGAATGTTGTTCTCATCTCTACTGCTTACTTTTCATTCTAAAATACCCTTTGAAACTTAACACACTAAGCTCTTTTCTGTGTCATCATAATGTTCAAGGGGATAAACTTTCACCTAGCCAGGAGAGAAACTTCATCAATGATAGGATAAGAAAAGCCATTAATTCAACAGCATTACACCGAAACAGACTTTCACAATATAGTTTCACCACAAGCTACATCTTACATAATAAGAAAACCCAAAGCCACAGTGTCACTCTCCTCCAACTGAGGAACAAAAAGCACATTTAAAAGCTATTAATATTTTATGGTTTTATTATTATCTGCTTAAAAGATACTCTGGCTTTTCTTCATATGTGTGAATATATTTATTCATAAATGATTAACAATTCTGGAATAAGTAACTTCAAACAAAGTTATGTATAAAAACATAGACCATCACATCTTACTCCATAAAAGAAGCATTACTTTATCCATTCATTAAAAGTAACTTTATACTTCTCTACCAAGTTAACATTAAAAAAAGTTAAAGAAAAAAAGAAGTAATTTTAAAATCTGAAACAAATGCCTGGTCAAGTCAGCATGATATTCAAGGACACTAAAGAGAAAAGATCAAAATCCAATTACCGTTTTATAATGTTCAAATGCCATAAACTGGATTGCACCATAGGGAAAGATTCGAATCATCATTGCACCATTTCCTTTATACAATCCAAGGAATCCTTCCTTTTGAGGAACAGCACGCAATGCAGAAAATACTCCTATTTTTTAAATAAGATTTTTAGGAAAAAAATACTATTAAAACAAAGAAAATTAAGTAAATGCAAATTTTCATGACAATCATAGATTAAGATCATTAAGCCATCACTTATAGCACTGCTTAAGGAATCACACGAATAGTAATTTCTATACAACAGTTAAACCTACTTAAAATATATATCCAAATTATATAAATAAGCATATCTCATAAAAATATAAAATCTACTATAGCAAGAACAGCTATTAATTATAGCAAACTGGCTGGGTGCAGTGGCTCACACCTGTACTCTGAGCACTTTGGAAGGCAGAGATAGAAGAACTGCTTGAGGCCAGGAGTTGAAGATCAGCATGAGCAAAAACAAGACCCCACCTCTAAAAAAATAGAAAAACTAGAACCAGGCATGATGGCTCACACATGTAGCACTCTGGGAGAGCTACAGGGGTGGCTTGCTTGAGCTCACCAGTTCCAGACAAGCCTAAGCAAGAGAGAGAACTCGTCTCTACTAAAAATACAAAAACTAGCAGGGCATCATAGCAAGTGCCTGTAGTCCAAGTTACTTGGGAGGCTGAGGCAAGAGAATCACTTGAGCCTAAGAAACCAAGGTTGCTGTGAGCTATGATACCATAGCACTCTATCCAGGGTGATAGAGTGAGACTCTATTTCAATAAAAATTTAAAAATAGAAAAAATAAAAAACTTAGGACAGGCTTAGCGCCTGTAGCACAGTGGTTACAGTGCCAGCCACCTACACTGAGACTGGCGGGTTCAAACTTGGCCCGGCCCAGCTAAACAATAACTGCAACAAAATAGTTGGGTGCTGTATTAGGCACCCGTAGTCCCAGCTACTTGGGAGGCTCAGGCAAGAGAATCGCTTAAACCCAAGAGTTTGAGGTTGCCATGAGCTGTGACGCCACAGTACTCTACTGGGAGTAATACAGTCAGACTCTGCCTCAAAAAAAAGGAAAAAAAAACTTAAGCCAGAGTGCCTGTAACCTTAGCACTCTGAGAGGCGTGGGTGGGAGGATCTCTTGAGGTGAGAAGTTCAAGACCAACCCAAACATGACCTAGACCCTGTCTATACTAAAAATAGAAGAATTAACAGGGAATTATGGCAGGCACCTGGAATCCCAGCTACTCGGGAGACTAAGGCAGGAAGATTGCTTAAACCCAGGAGTTTGAGGTTGCTGGAAGCAAGGCACCATGATGCCACTGCACTCTAGCCTAGGCAACACAGTGAGGGAGGGAGGGAAGGAGGGGGAAAAGAAAGAAAGGAAAGAAAGAGAGAGAGAGAAAGAAAAGTCGGGCATGGTGGCACACACCTATAGTCCCATCTATGCAGGAGGTTAAGGCAAGATGATAGCTTGAGCCCAGGATTCTGTGGTTGCAGTAAGCTATAATGACGTAACTGTATTTTAGCTGGGGCAATGGAGCAAAACTTTGTCTCAAAAAAAAAAACAAAAAAAACAGAGGCCAAGGGCTGTGGTTTGTGTGTATAATCCTAACACTTTAGGAAGCCAAAGTGAGTGGACTGCTTGAGTTCAGGAGTTCAAAACCAGCCTGACCAAGAATGAGACCCTGTACCTAGGAAACAGAGTAAGTAAGACCCTGTCTACAAAAGAATGTATATTCTCAAAATGGTACAAAGTTTTTCTACCTTTATATCTGTTATATCAAGCAAGCTTATGTATTATGTAAATCCATGTCTGTTATCTTTTTATGTATTTTATCAAACTAGGATTAAAAGGACCATCTGGTAAAATACTATGCATATGCTTATATGCATATACATTAGCTCTGTAAGGAAATGAAACTTATAAAAATGTTTAATTCCAAAGAAGAAATAACTTACTGAATTATGAACTCTGTGAAAATATAATAATTCAAAAAATTAAAAATGAATATAATGTAAAAGTAAACATTCAAAAAGAATACTGTTGTCATTCATGTATCTGTTTTTATTACTGTATCACATTTGACTGTACAATCCTAAAGAGATCATGGATATTCAATATACTATTACAGGAAAAAGGTCTTTATACTAACATAGCAAATTGGGAGAAGGAAAAATCTTAAATGCATTCCTTCCTCTTCATCTGGCTACAATTAATTTGATGTCAAATGAGAAGTAGTCTTTTTTTTAAATTTCATTTTCTAATTTTTTTCCCACATGTGATCATTCCCAAAAATATTAGTTTTTGATGTCTTAAAAGTAATGTCACATTTTTTAAAAGACACTAAAGTAGAATAGCTTTGTTTAATACAATATCTTTATCATCTTTGACTATAAAAGATGTTTACAAAAGCAAAAGTTTAAAAACTATCTTATACATATAAAAGAGAAGAGGGACCTAGGATAAAATGCCCAAAAACATATAAAAAAATAAACTTAAGAGATGCCAATACAATTTTGTTTTGGCTTATATATTTTAAAGATATATACTCCAAACACTACACCAATAACTCATTGTTACACTCCAGGAATTCCACTTTGAATTTTGCATGCTTTGTAGGGTACACTATAATCAGTGGCATGTAGCCCTGCAGAGCGTGAAATCGAATGTGAATATGTAATCTAATGATTACAACTCTGGAAACAAACCAATATACGTCAGCATGAGGAGGACCTTAAAGGAATAAAACAATCCTATTCAGATGCTCATATAACAGGTCCTTGTAAAAAACCCCAAGATACTGTGTAATATAATTAATCTCTTTATTGCCCTAGATTTAGGAAACAAAAGAAATGTTTCCTTTTTTTTTTGAGACAGAGACTCAAGCTGTTGCCCTGGGTAGAGTGCTGTAGTGTCACAGCTCACAGTAACCTCAAACTCTTGGGTTAAAGCGATTCTCTTGCCTCAGCCTCCCAAGTAGCTGGGACTACAGGCGCCCACCACAATGCCCAATTTTTGGTTGTAGTTGTCATTGTTGTTTGGCAGGCCCAGGCTGGATTCAAACCCACCAGCTCTGTTGTATGTGGCTGATGCCCTAGCCGCTTGAGCTACAGGCACCAAGCCAAAATCTTTCCTTTCTTTCTAGTTTTTTATAATTGTTTATTTAATAAGTTTGAAAGTCTGCCTCTTTCTAATCATAAGTAATATACTGTATGAAGACATAGAATTTACTGATGGATACAGAAGTCATTGTAACTTTTTTCTTTCAAGTACAGACTTATTACTAAAAATATTAACAAGTGCCAGGTGCAGTGGCTCACACCTGTAATTCTAGCACTCTGGTAAGCTGAGGCAGGTGGGTTGCTTGAACTCAGGAGTTCAAAACCACCTTGAGCAAGAGCAAGATACTATCTCTACTAAAAAACAGAAAAACTAGCCATGTGTTGTGGGGGATGCCTATAGTCACAGCTACTCAGGAGGATGAGGCAAGAATGATCCCTTGAGCCCAGGAGTTTGAGGTTGCTGTAAGCTAAGTAGATGCCTGGGGCAGCAGAGAAAGACTTTGTCTCAAAAAAAGAGAGGGATTTTGGGCGGCACCTGTGGCTCAGTGAATAGGGGGCCGGCTCCATATACCAAGGGTGGTGGGTTTAAATCCGGCCCGGCCAAACTGTAACAAAAAAGTAGCTGGGGCATTGTGGTAGGCATCTGTCATCCCAGCTACTTGGGAGGCTGAGGCAAGAGAATCACCTAAGCTCAAGAGCTGGAGGTTGCTGTGAGCTCACAGCACTCTACCAAGGGTGACAAAGTGAGACTCTGTCTCTAAAAAACAAGAGGGATTTTTAGGATGGCTATTTAACTAAGTATTAAAAGGAGTAATTAAAGCCAGACAAGGTAGCTCAATGCCTGTAATCCCAGCACTTTGGGAGGCCAAGGAGCGTGGGTTGCTTGAGCTCAGGAGTTCAAGACCAACCTGAACAAGACTTCCAGAAGCATGTGGTGGGCACGTGTATTCCCAGCTACTTGGGAGGGTGAGGCAAAATAATGTCTTTGAGCCCAAGAGTTTGAGGTTTTTGTGAGCTAGGATGCCACAGCACTCTACAAAGGGCAACAAAGTAAGACTCTGCCTCAAAAAAAAAAAA